CGTGCGACCCCCGCAATCCAGGGCTGCCCGGAAGACTGCTTCTCCTCCCCCGCCTGCCTGTGTCTGCTGCCCGCGAGGCCTGACCTCCTGGAGGGCCTGTGCACTGCCAGAGTCCCCAGCATCCTGGGGACAGGGCCCTGGTGAACCTGTGTTCAGTTCCTGTGTGGCGGGTCCCAACCACGTCCCCACAGGATGGAGTAAAGGGCTCAGCCTGCCTTTCTGGCCACGGCACAGATCCCCTTTCTGCAGACTCCGGATTTGCCAGCTGGAACTCTGGTCCTGTCCTAGGAGCCCTCGGGGAGAGCTGGGAGGGGTGAGGTGGAGCCAGGCCGCGGTCATCCTGCCTCAGGAAGGTTCTCTCTTGAATAAACGGGTATCCTGAAGGGAGCCACCAGGGGGCGTCTGAGGTCTGACTCCCGGAGTTGGCCCCAGGGTCTGAGCAGACGGGGATTCTTAGCCTGCCGCCCCCTGATGGGCGGTGTTGACCCTGCATGCCTACTGTGCACGCGGTGGCTGGGGGCTTGGTAAAACTAGACCCCGGGCTGGGTGGGCCCAGGTGGTGCTGGTGCTGCGGACCTGGTTGACGTGGGGTTTGGCCCGGCCCTGCTCTGTCTTGTGGGATTTACTTTAGTCGCCCATGTCAAGGTCAGGAACCCCAGACTCTGGTTTCTCTTACGAGAGGGCACCAGCAACCCTGGCCAATGCACAGGTGAGGATTTGGAGTGGTGACAGGCCCCACAGGTCTGGGCTGGGCTGCCCTGCCCGCCGGCCACAGCACCAGCAGCGGTGTCTGCGCAGCCGTGAGTAGGTCTTTCCCAGGGCCCTGTCAGTGTCCCTGTGCTTCCCAAGCCCCCAAGCATGGCCCGAGTCACAGACCGGCCAGGGGCTGCTGCTGTCCTCTGACGTCACTGCTGATTGCAGGGTCACTGGCGGGGGCTGCCAAGGCAGGGGTACGCAGCTGGGCTCTGCAGGGCACCTGGTCCTCCAGAGGTAGCTCAGGCTCGGGTCAGAGGAGGCAGGTCCCAGAGGGAGGAGAGGTGTCCAGAGCTGCTCTGACCTCTCCTGGCCACATGGAGTCGGATAGAGCAGGTCACCAGGCTGGCCCAAGCTCAGGGCTAAGGGACTTCACAATGAGTTGCTGTGAGTCGGGATCTTGGCGCGTTCCTAAGAGCAGTTCCCAGACCTGGCTGCAGGTTGGGATGTCCTCTTCTGGAATGCTCTGCAGTTGCAGGCTCTCGACTCTGTCCAGACCCACTGAGTCCAAATACAGAAGTGGGAAAGAGAGGATGTGAAGTCCCAGGAGCAGCCCCAGGTGCGAGGGGCAGCAGCAGTAGTGATGGGCAGCCCCGAATGACCCTTGGCCTGCAGGGGACACCTCTTGGTCCTCGCTGGGCCACCAGCTCTTGGGCGAGGGACAGTGCTGTGCTTTGTGGGACCCAGGCCCAGAGGGAAACAGCAGCCCCTGAACAGAGCCAGTCATGGTGAGCTGGAGTGGCCCCCGGTTAAGTGAGGACACACTGGGCGTCCGAGCTCCCTGGGTTGTCCCTGCAGAACTTTAAACACTTTGTCACAGGGACATCTATTGCCTTTACCTGCCCCACTTCCAGTTCCTCTTCTTTGTAGATCGGAGCCAACTTTTTCTTCTATCAGACGCAGAGTCTCTGATTTGATATCAAGCCCCAGGAGATGGGAACGAGTGGTTTGGTTCAGGTCACCAGGAAGCTCTGGTGGGGAGGGCACGGTGGGGAGCAGGCGCAGTCCTGCTGGGACCCTCCACAGAACAGAGCTGCCTCGTGCCTTGGGGTCCACTCCAGGGCAGGGGAGCACTGTCTTCCAGCAGGGCTGCTCCTGGGGGTCTCCGCCTGGGTGCTTCCGGCTGCCCTCCCCAGAGCTGCGAGCTCCAGCCAGAGGGAGCAGAAGAGGTGCAGCGGTCCCCTGCACCGGAAGCCGGCGCTGCCTCTCCCCCTTGGCCACCAGGTGGTGTCGTGGGCACCACTCGTTCAAGGCAGGTCTTGGGGATCAGAGGCGGCCTCTGCCCAGGTCAGCCAGTCAGAGCCCCCCCCCCTGGAACTTCTGCTGGACTCGTCCAACCTCCAGGGTGTGAGCCGCACGGAGAAGAGCAAACCAGCTCTCCCCAGTGTGAAGAAGACGAACCACAAAATGGGGAGAGCCAGGCAGTGTGGAGAGGAACCGAGGGGGGCGGGGGCAAGATGTGAGCCCCTGGGTGCAGCCATACCTGACTTCCAATACGGAATGTGGACCAATAAAGTTTCGTTTTTGTTTGGGGCAGTTTGTGTTGGGTGCTCTTGCAACCCAAAAAGTGTGACACTCATGCTGTCACAGGACAGGCACATTTTTTGACACAGGCATTTGTAGAGCGTCATTGGAGCATGAGCAGGAGGCAAAGCAGTGTCTGGGATCCTGGCACCTGTGTGTGTGGGGGGGGGGGACACAGGGCACAGACACACAAGGCAGGACGCTGGGAGTCACTGACACCAAGGACCCCTCTGTGATCTTGGCAGTTAGGAAGACCCCAGAGCAGAGGCACAGACTGCCTCAGAGCCCCAGGATGGTGACCTTGGTGACATGCCAGTGGCTGAGCCCTCACAGAACCTCACCTCAGCGGAGACCCCACAGAGTCGCTGATGGGCGGTCACTGGGCAGCGCTGAGGGTCCCCCAGAGCCCTGAGACGGGTGAAAGCAGGAGCCTCTGCACCTCCCCCAGGTCCTCGGGGACCACGTTGTAAAAGCCTTGACTCCGTAAAACGAACTCAGAGCTCTGAAACTCTGCTTCCCTAACGGTCCCGCGGGTCCTGCCTGGGCAGGGAGGGCAGGAGAAAGGCACAGCCTCCCGGGCCTTCCGCCCTTCCCAGATCCACCAGGTCCCAAGGATTTGTGCCCCAGGGACAGCCTCTGGGCCTCACGGGAGCCCTGGGTGTGTTTTGGCCTCTCAGGCCCAGGCCCCAGGAGGCCTCCCGGGAGGAGCAAAGGCCCAGAGACGTCAGCGGTGACACACAGCTCAGCCCTGATCCCAGCTCTGCCCGCCCTCGGGAGCTGTCCCCAGTGCCACTGTCCTTTCCCAATACTGCAGCACCCACAGGTCAGCTGGCTGCCCTTTTGAGATCGGTGGCCCACAGTGCAGGAGACACCATGGAGAAGTCACCGCGAGTGGATGAGCACGTTATGGCAGCAGGCGACGGCTGTCTCCTCCCCTCACTGCACGTGTAGGGCAGGGCAGGTCCAGAGCTGGGCAGACAGTGACCCAAGGCCACCGCACCTCCCACTCCCCCAGTGACAGTCCCGGCCTCCAGCTCCAACATGAGGGAGGCTTTTCAGTCCCATGAGGTATACAGCAGCCAGCGCCCTTGGTCCAGTGCCTGGGAGACCCCCCCAGGGAAGGGCAGGCAGTGCCCTCAGCTTAGGTACAGCTGTCTCAAAATGAATAATTAAAAGGAGTCAGGCGCGCACAGTGGTCCACACCTATAATCCCAGCCGCTAGGGAGGCTGAGGCAGGAGGATCGCAAGTTCAAAGCCAGCCTCAGCAAAAGAGGCGCTAAGCAACTCAGTGAGACCCTCTCTCTAAATAAGATACAAAAAAAAATAGGGCTGGGGATGGGGCTCAGTGGTCGAGTGCTCCTGAGTTTGATCCCAGTACCGAATAAATAAATAAAAATGAAGAGCTGGGAATGTATCTCAGTGGTAAAGTTTCAATTCCTAGCACCAAAATAAATAAATACAAGGACTGCACGTCCTCGCTGTCCCCTGAGTAGCTGAAGAGTGGCAGGTGGAATTCAGGAACCCTGCCCGCAACATCCCAGGTGGCGGTGCTGAGCGAGCCTGGGAAACCTGGGTGCTAGCAGCATGGATAAACCCCGCGCCCGTTTCTGTAGGGTCCACACGTTCTGATGGGTCGACCAGCACCCCCAACCCAAGTTCACCCAGCGCCTGGCTGAGACCTCATTTGTAGTGAGGGTCTCAGCAGGTGTGGTGGCTTCAGCTGTTGAGATGACGCCCTGCCTCAATGACCAGTGTCCTCCTGAGAGATGCCGAGGGAAGAAGGCACCTGAGGAGGCAGGTGGAGTGATGTGGCCACCAGGGGAGGCAAGGAAGGACCCTGCCCTGGAGTGCTGCTCTGTGGACACTCAGACTCCAGACTCTGGCCTCTAGACCTTGGGCATAATAAAGGTCTGTGGTCTTAAGCCTCATTTTGGGGGGGGGTAATTTGTTCCAGAAGCCCCAGGAAGCTAATGCAGTGTGCCTGAGCTTCACACCTAAGAAGCTGGTCCCTGCGCACCAGTGTGCAAGCCCTCGGTGACGCCACTCTTTCCAGAGCGCTCTATCTAGTCTTGCAAACAAGAGCCAAGGAATCCCTCAACAATCCCTGGGCAAACGCCAGGCTCAGGGAGAAGACAGTGGAAGTTGATCCGCGCCTAAAATGGCCAGTGTTTCTGGCTGGAATGACCAGGCACAAGAACAGGCACCTCGCCCGCCAAAACGGACTCCATTGAAAAGGAGCAATCAGTTTTACAGAGGAGAGGAGCTTCCTGAGAGGGCGGGTCGGAGAGGAACAACACCACTTATTTCCTTCTGTTGTTGCACATTGGTTGCTGTTTTGGGTGGTGCTGGGGATGAACCCAGGGGCGCTTTACCACTGAGCTACGTTCAGCCTTTTTTTAAAAATTTAATCCTGAGGGCCTCGCCAAGTTGCTGAGGCTGGCCTAGCTCTTGCGATCCTCCTGCCTCGGCCTCCCCAGTCACTGGGATTACAGGTGTGTGCCATCATGCTGGGGAAGACCTCCCGGCTCAGGAAAGCTGCGCAGGGACTAAAGGTGCCCTTTCAGAGCTGTGGTTCTGCCCAGAAAAGGGAAGAGCCGGCTGCACACACGGCAGAAGGCAGCGGCACCCTGACCTCTCTGTCCCCTGGAGGCCGGCTGCCTCATGAACACCCGTGAGGGCGTCCTCGGGAAGGAGCCCCGACTTGGACAAGAAGCATGAAGAAATCAGAACTACCGCACACATTTATTGAGTGTTTTCTGTGTTCCAGACGCCGTGCTGGGGACTTTGTGACCACTTTTGTCCCACTACAACCCCATGAGGTAGGCACTGCTGTCCCCATTTAACAGATGAGGACACTGAGGCACAGAGAGGTTAAGTCACCTGCTTGAGGTTACACAGCTATGAAAGGAAGGCTGGGCTTTGCACCCTGGTCTAATGGCCACGTTGCTACAGGTCACTTCTGTCCTGATGGCAAGGGGCTGATGAGCAAGGAGGAGCAAGAAGCCTAAGCCAAGTCCAGCCCTGGCGGGCCTGGGGAAGTTTAAAAGCCAGAAGCTGGACAGTCCCTTCCTTGGGCTACTTTTAATTACAGGCCTCCCCAAGGCAGGAGCAGCCTGCTGCAGAGGCTTCAGCGCAGGTTCCAGAGACTTCTACGCAGGACACCACCATGGACGTCGGCTGGTGCAGGGAAGGATGGTGCCACGCAGCCCCGTTGCGTCTAGAGGGAATGCCAGTCACAGGACCCCCTGTGTCTTGGCCAGCATGGCCAAGAAGTGAACCTGCCACTTGAGCAGGGACAGCCAGACTCTTCCACGAGAGCTGAGATGGGACGGCATCTCCCTCGGGGTCGGGAGCCGTTAACAGGTCTGGGCTCTGGCAGCCCCTTCCTCACCAGGTGGAAGAAAGGAGGCAGCCAGGGTGCAAAGAGGTCAGGGTCAGGAGGCCTGGGTGCAGTCGAGAGGCCTGGGGCTCCCGCATCCAGCCATTCCTGGAGCCAATTCCCAAACAGGAGACCCAGGGAATTCCCCTTGTTGCTTAAGCCAGTTTTAGCTGGGTTCAGAGGGACAACCAAGAATCTGAGACGCTCGCCCTTGCTGGGAGTGGGGTTGTAGCTCAGAGGTAGAGCACTTGCCTAGCACTCAGACGCCCGTGACCTGTTGCCTTTTGGGGACCCAGGAAACGAAAGGAAAAATGTCCTCAGGTCCCAAGGAGTCCCAATGCAGTAACTGGGGAAAGCCATGTCAATTTTGGAGCTGGTTCCTGAGTCAGATCTGCCCCAGGGCAGACAATAGCCTCCCTACCAAGGGGAGTCCAAATGCCATGTGGAGACCCTGGATCCAGCCTTACCTGAAGTTAGACCTGGACTGGACAGGTACTTTGAATCCATGAATGGTCACCCTTTTGTGTTTAAGTCACTGAGCAGTGGGTTTCTCTGACTTACAATTAAAAAAGGTCATAATCAAACAGCTCCCCAGGACAGAAAGGGGCCTCCACAGTGTGTCACCCCATCACTTCCTGAAACTTGGCAGAAGCCCTGGGCTTCCTCACCCTCTTCAAGGCACTGGTGGTCAGGGTTAGGCCCCCAGCAAACCTGGATATGGTTATGGCGAACCCTGGATACCGCTCCAGAGCCCAGTGGGGACTCAGAGTGCTGCTGTCCCTCAGACACTAAGGGGACCGTCCCTTCCCGATGCCCAGCGTCTTCCCATTCTTGGGGGACGGGCCAGTATTCCTTGAAGCACTTGCCTTTTCAGACCGTGTGATTGGCTCCCGCACTGTGCATGTGATCCAGGCTGGCCAATCAATGCGCCGCACCCCAGCTAAGTCACAGTGATTGGTCTAGGTTGGGCACATGACCCAGGACCAGCCTTCTCAAACCCGCAGTAACTATCACGGGTTCAGGAATGGGTGCGGGTCCCCAGCTGGGCGGTGAGAGGCAGTCCTGGGAGGTGGACTGGAACTTCTGGGAGTGAGCGGGTCCCTTCTGGGGGAAGGGACAGTGTGCCTAGCAGTGACGGAGACCCTGCAGGGGGTGGCCCTCCTCAGAAGGAAGCCCGCGGGGCAAGCAAGCAAGTGGTGGTGAGGGGCTGAGCCTGGGGCCATGGCTGAGTCCCAGATCCTGCGAGACCCACTGCGCTGAGATGGACAGGCCTTTTGTGTCCAGAGGGGAGTTCTGTCCTTGCCACCACAAGAGCCCTGAGCTGCATGCGGGCCACACTGGCCAAGGACGAGGTCCTCGCCATCCCGTCCAGACACCCCAACTTTTGGGACCAGACGCTCCAGCCCACGTGGTCCCAGGCCTTGGCAAGCTGCTTCTCATTCTGCACTCTTCCGGGTGGCCGAGGCCAGCGGGCTGCCCTGAGGGTCCACGCCTGGCTATCTGGAGACCAAGGAGCTGCCCTGGGACTGGCCGGAGGAGGAGGAGGAGGTGGCGGCACTGAGCTGGGAGAAGCCACTGGTGCAGGATTCCAGGCTGGACATGGAGCCCCTGGGGGGAAGGGCACAAGTTACCCTCTGTTGATGCTGCAGGTGAGGCCCCAGGGCTCCTTCCTCAAGGCTGCTGACTGCCCAGGGCCCGGGCCAAGTGCAGAGGGAAAAGCAAGTGACACCATGAGTGCCCCCCAGTTCCCTGCGCCCCACTCCCTCAGGACACAGCCCGGCCTACCACAGACAATCCAGGGGCTTCCCTGGCCTGGATCCCTACCACGGTCCTGGGGCCCCCACAGCCCGGGGAGGCTCCGGCCCTCGCCTCTCACCCCTCACTCCTGGAAGTCGAGCCTGGCCTCCTTCCAGCACCCTGGACACACCTTTGTGGGTGCCAAGCCTCCGGGCAGCACCTTCCCTCTGTCCCCAGCTACCTGGTTCACGTGGACTTCAGGTCAGAGCCATCTGGAGAACCCTCTGCCTGACTGAAATGTCCTACCAGTGTGCTGTCCACGGCAGCAGCCGCTGCCACTGAGGCCACAGAGTGGCCGGCACGTGGCTCGTGTGTTCCACTCTATCTGCTACTTCTGCGTTGCCACAGGGGCTAGCCGCTACGGGGCTGTCCCTGGGCAGCCGGAGGGATTTGCTCCTCAAAGTGTGTGGGGACCAGCCGCACCCTGGCACCTGGGGCTTGCTAGGGTTCTGAACCAGAATCTACGGGCTGAACAGGCCCCTGGTGACCGATACCACACCCCGTGGCTCTCCACCCAGTGTCATTTCCCAGAGGCCCCCCCCACACCCTCTGCCAGGTCCCTGCTCTGAGCCGACAGTTCTCTCTGCTAAGCCCCCAGCACTTCTTAGCCATGTGGCTTTGGGCCCAGAGCCCAGGCTGAGCATGGCTTCCTGTCTTCCATCTGTGCCACACTTCCACGCGGTGGGAGTGCCCCAGTGGCAGACCAGGAGGGCAGCAGGAAATAGCCCTGAACTGACTTCTCATGAGGTCACTGAAGGAGAGGTGGCAAGGACTCTTACACTGGCCAGACCAAACAGGTTGGTGCAGAGCGCCCAGCCCACCCCGTCTCCACGCGTCCCCCTGGAGGGCCCCCCCCTGCACCTCCTTCCCAGGGCCAGGTGCACCCGGCTTCCTGCAGGGCTTCGTGAGGAGGGCAGGCTCTGCTGCTGAGCGGGTCTGACCAGGGCTCCCCCAAATCCCTGCTGGGCCTACCCTGGAGGAACTGGCCCACCGCTAGGGCAGAGCCCGGGAGCCCAAGGAGGACGCCACGCCCCGCCCTGCCCAGGCCCCAACCCACCTGAAGTCCTCGGAGGCTAGCACCTCGCAGTAGTAGAGGAGCTTGCACTTGGGGCCCGGGCTGTGCAGAGCGGTCAGGACATCGCCCGGGAGGCTGCAGGCCATGCTGCCAGGGGGGCTGTGCACTTGCCACTGGAGCAGGTAGACCCCAGGCCACCTGGTCACATGGGAGCCCTGAAACACAGCAGCCATGCTCTGTGAGGTCCCCTGGGGAGGGGGAAAGGGGCCGAGCCTTCCTGTGGCCAGGCCTGGAGAGAGAGGCTCTTGCCCTCTGTCCCCCTCTGCAGTGCACCAGCAAACTGTCCTACTAGGACCTCCCGAGGCCGTCCCTGCGGCTGCCCCACAACCTGGGACCAGCTCAGTGGGGTCTGCAGACCAGGAGGATTTAGAGAAGGGCTGAGTGGGGGCTCACGGGTGCTTCCAACAGGTGGCTGGGGGGAAGTGTGGAGGGCGGTGTTAGTTGTTAGGAGGGCGACTCTGAGGAGGGGTAGAGTGTTACGGGGATCACGGGGTGGTGGGGGGCGTGGCAGGGGGCAAGTGTGACGACGGGCAGCCCAGCACCCCGGGCCCTGCAGCCAGGCCCTAGGCTTGTGGAGCTGGCCTGTGCCCTTGTTCTCCCTGCCGCCTGGCTGCGATGGTGGTCAAGCACCCATTACGTGGACACCATGATCTCTCCCCTGCTGTCCTGCCAGGTCCCTGAGGCCAGGGGCACGTCTGGTTTGTCCTGCTGTGTTCCCGCAGCCCAGCAGGGGTGGCCGTCCAGTACGGCGGGATGAAGGAGCAGGTGACCCACGGAGTGCCAACCTGGATGCTCTCCCCCTCCCGGCAGACCAGCGGAGCCTCCACGCGGCTGTAATCCGTGCCCAGGACCCAGCCTTTGTCCATCAGCTGCCCGCTGGCCTTGGCCCCAGGCTCCCGCGGGCCCGGCTTGAGCGCCTGCTTGGTGTGGTACAAGCTAAAGACCACGTCCCCTCGCAGGATGTCGAAGTCCCAGGTTATGACCGACTCCCCTTCCAGGATCTCCAGCGCGACCTGTGTGGGGACAGAGCAGCTCTGGGAGTCCCAGGGGACAGGACAGCTGGGAGGGGCATGGGAGGTGTGGTGGGTGCTGCAGGGGTCTCGCCCCCAGTCACGAGGTGCGCCTCCTGGAGGGCAGAAGGGGCTGCTAAGGCTCCTGCCGTCCCTCGCCTGGGAACCTCTCTCGGAAAGGCCTGGGAGGTTCCACCCTGGGGTGACCAGGGGGCCCGGGGGGGACGGCACTCAGGCCTGGCCCCTTGCCTCTCAGCAGGCCATTCCTGACCTCTTCCCCTTCCGGAGCTCCCTGGGTCAGGCTGAGGCCCAACGGCTGACGTCACCTCTGGGTTTCGATCCCCCCACGCCCACCAGCGAGGACCTGGCCTAGGGTGACAGCCCGGGGCCCTCCCTGCCAGGCCCCAGCACCTCGTGGGGCGCCCCACGGAGCACGCTGGCCGAGTGGTAGGTCTCGCTCCACAGCCGCAGCTGGTCGGCCTGCTCCTGCTCCTCCTCCGTCAGATAGAGGGACTTGGGGACCAGTCCTCCTTCGGGGACACTACACTGGGGGTCACAGACAAAATGGGTGACAGGTCAGGGTCCTGGAGGTTGGCCGGCCTGAGCCACGGAGTCCTGTGAGCCCCGAGACGGCCTAGAACAGTGACCCCCGCTGAGCTGGACGGTGGCTCCCGCGACCCCGTTTGCCCCCCAGAACCCCCGCAGGGTAGGGACGGTTTTCCCGCGTCACAGAGGAGGGAAATGGCAGCTCAGAGAGGGAAGACCAGTTGTCCAAGATCACAGAGCACAGGGTGCTGCTCAGGGCACAGGGCTCGCTCCTGAGAGTCACGCTCAGGTCCCCCCCCCCCCGGCTGGCGGGGAAAGGGGACCCTCCCCCAGCACCCCTTCAGCTGTCAGGTGGACCCATCAAGGTACGGTGGGTTCTGAAGATTCCCAAAGCCAAAGGCCCCCGGGCGGCTGGGCCTCGGCAGACCCTCTGCCATCCCAAACTGTGATGCCCATCTCACTGGCAAAGCCAGGGGAGGCCACAGCAGGAGGCGGGGTCAGGCAGGCCGGCCAAGCCCAGGAGGCCTCCTGTGCGCTGCTGGGTGAACAGAGAGCGCGAGCCCGCCCGGCTGCAGGAAGGGGCTGGGACTCGGGGTCTCCCTGCCCGTCAGCCCACCACAGCGGGGCAGCAGCCTGGTCAGGGCAGGTCTGGGCGCACCAGGGCCAGGGCCGTGGGCACCGGGCGCCACTGCCCTGCGTGGAAGGGCTCGGAGGAGCACGGCTGCTGAGCAACCTCTGGGGACACGGAGGGTCTGGGGACTTGGCCTGGTCCCTGGGCTTCTGGAAGATGCTGCCTCACTGTGTGAAACAGCCAGAGGCAGGCGTCGCCTCTCTGGGGCAGCTTCTGAAACACGCCCCGTGCCCACTCGGCAGCCTGGCTTCCAGGGGACAGCACGGCGGCCGCCCAGGGGCCCTTCCCCCCCAGCCAGGACTCCTGGCCTCCCGGGCCACTGCCCTCACCCTGCAGCCCAGCCCAGGCCACCGGCCTCACCACACTCTCTCCCCCCAGGAAGTCGGGGATCACTTCCTTGTCCAGGTAGTCCACCAGGCCCCCCGGGCCCTGGTAGTTGCTGCCGCTGTAGATGAGGAACTTCTGCCTGGTGTTCTCGTTGATGAAGGGGCTGACCTGCAGTGGGGGTGAGGCAGAGGGCATGGATTGATCAATTATTGGCACTAGGAACTGAACACCGAGGCTCTCAGCCACTGACCCGCACCCCGGCCCATTTTAGTTTTCATCTTGAGACAGGGACTCCCTAGATTGCTCAGCTGGCCTCAAACTTTCCGTCCTCCTGCCTCAGCCTCCTGAGTATCTGGGATCACAGAGGAGCACAGCACACCCGCTCGACTAGCCTGTTTTCAGTGGAAAAGAACAGAAGAGACTAGTAAAGAAGCTGGTATAGACACCATTTCACAGGTCTCTTGTTCAGGGTGTGCGTGTGCACATGTGTGTGCACGCAGGTGCTCTGGGCTACAATTGTGGGTCCTGGCCAAAAGTTTAAAATCCCAACAGTCCAAGGTCCAAACTGTCCTTGGAATCAGCTCACAGGAGGCCTGGGAACACTGTACAATGCTGAGGGTTGCTGTCCCATTAAAGAAATAGGCAAGGGATACACAAATGTGCTCCATCCACATGCTGGAATATTATGCAGCTGTAGAAAGGAATGGAGAGCCAGGGCGGGCTGCACCGCGGCTGGACTCCACAACACTGTGCTCAGTGAAGGAAGCCGGACAGCAAGCGCCTCACAGTGGATGAGCCTGTTGACATGAAGCTCCCAACAGGCAAATCCCACAGGGACGGCAGGCGGAGGGTGGCCCCCAGGGCCAGGAGGAGAAATGGGCAGGGGGGTTCCAGGAAACGTTCTGGGACTGGGCGGGGTAGCAGTTGTATAATTCTGTGAATATAGTGAAACTGCTGAATCCTGTACTTGAAGAAGGCGAAGGCTGTGGCATAGGAGTCTTATCTGGATAAAGCTGCCATTTACAAAAGTTCAAACAGGGCCACTCAGTGGGAGGAGCAGAGGAACCTTCCCATCTCGGCCTCCCATCCCAGCGTCCCTGGGGGGCCTGACCAGGCTCCTGCTCTTACCAGCGTCCAGAGCACGGGAAAGACTCGGGGGGCTCGCACGATGAGCAGCCGGCCCAGGGTCTCAGGGTAGTTATCTTCGACGACCTCGATCATGCGCAGCAGGGCCTTCACCCCTGGCCGCCAGAGGTGCCGCATGTTGAGACCCTCCAGGTCCAGCAGGCAGGTCCAGGAGCTGTGGTGGACACGCACCCCTCACTCCACCTGGCTCTGCCTCGTCGCAGGATGGACAGGGAGGCGGGTGGGAGCAGAGGGGCCGCCGGACACTTCTGCGGATCCCTCCGCGGTAGGGAGGCTGCGTGCTGAAGAGGCCCAGAGCCTGGATGCCCAGGCTGAGCCCCGGAGCCCCGGAGCCCAGGCCTCCCCTCCACCTGGAGAGCTGAGAGACTGGGCAGGGACCTGCGGCTCACGGAGTCAGCAAAGGTGGTCAGCTCTAAATGAGGTGGGGGCTGGAGCGCTCTCTGCAGGAGCTCTCGTCCCTACTAGTTGAGAGAAGATGCTCTCCACTGCATACAGCCCACCCGGCTCTGGAAGCTTGCCCTGCAGCGTCGGGTGGCCCAGGCTCAGATACCTGCTCTGCCACTTGCTGTGTGGCCTGGGCCAAGTTCTTAACCCCTCTGTGCCTCCATTCCATCAGTAGTGAGTCATTAGGAAAATGACCATCTTACTGCAGTGGCCGGTCCCTGGGAGCCTCTGCATCCTGGATGTCCCTTAGCCCTGCTCACACGTCTGCAAGGGGGTCCTTTATGACACTCCCCATTCAAACCATCTGGGGTGGACTCTGCCTCCGGCCAGGACCCTGGCTGACTGATTGCCACCCCCACCCGATGTCCCCGTCCTTACAAAATCTCCAGACAGAAAAGGAACTTAATCATCACAAAGAGAAGACTCCTGGGGGTAAAATGTGCAGGTGTCAGGTCCTGTCACGGCTGCCACCAGGAGGGCCGAGGGCTGGGGGGCCGGAGGAGCCCGGGCCACACACAGCTGGCCGCATACACTGGCCCAGGACCTCGGCCCAGGGGTGGGGTCCAGGGAGTGAAGGGGCAGCGGGCCGCTGCTGGGCTTTGTCACCAGGGAGTGGGACTGTCGTGGGACATGGAGGGAGACCTCGGGCCAGAGAGCTGCTCTCAGGATCCAAAGTCGGGAGCCAGACGGGGCCGGACCCAGACAGGGGCAGGTCAGAGCAGCTCGGCCACCGAGCCCTCCGTGACCCCAGGGAGCACCGCCACCCGGGCTGTCTCCTTATAAGTCAGGGTGACTGCAGCCCCTCACAAGATCACCGCAGGAGCTAGGTGGGGACAGTGACACTCAGTGCAATGTGTTAGCGGCCCCGTCCACCGGGGAGTCACCAGCCCGGGTCCTTGCCTGATGGGACGGCCAAACTGCTTGGTGTTCCCCTCACACCTCTTCTGTCCTTCCTCGTTGACAGAAAGGACCTGCAGGGAGGACAGCGTGCTGAGCCACCGCTCTGCTGTCCCACCCGCGGGCCGTCCCGGAGCCCGGGCGGGGGGGGGGACACTCACGTGCTGCAGCAGCGCCTCCTCCCCCACCGCCTTCATCAAGCCCTTGGTGTCCATCTGGCCCAGGCGGAGGATGTACAGGGGACGTCCATCTTCGGGGGCAAGCAAAGAGAAGGGTCACTGGTGACCCGGGCAGGTCCACGCCTCCGCTGGAATGCGGCATCCTCAGGGAGGAGACACCGGGCCCGGCACACCCAGGCCCAGTGGGCGCATGTCCTGGCCAGCACCTGCTGCCTCCAGGAGGCGGACCCCCCACCAAAGACCCCAACAACAGGCGTGTTCTAATAAGGACAAGGGACACGCCCGCGAGACACCAGGCGGGAGCCTCAGCAACTCCCGCTCCATGTTGGCGGCTCTTTGCCAACTGAAGCCTTTCTCCCGCCTCTCGTTTGCTCAGAACAAGACGCGAGCCACCCCAGGAGGGGACACTGAGCCCCAAGAACACTGAGCCCCGAGCACACGCTCTTCAGCCTCAGAAGAAAGCCACGGAGAGGGACCTGCTAACACTGGCAGTGCCGTCACTCATGTCACCTACAAAGTCCCAGAACACGATCGGCCGCGTCCAGGCAGGAGCGGGCCAGGCGGCAGGAGCCTGGAGACTCGGCCCTTCTGTCCACATCAGCGGCCTTGTTGGGGGAGCCTGTTCAAGGACACTCCCCACGTCCCCGTTGGTTCCACTGGGCACTTAGCAGAACCAACTCCTGCAGCAGAGCTGGGCCATTTCCACGGGGCCTAACAAGACTCCAGAGGCTCTGCTCAGCCCTGCTCTCTCCAGAGAACAGAACTCTGCGCGCACCACGTCCATTTCAGCTTCCTAGTGCTGTCCTCATTACTGACAGGTGTCCTGTGTAGGACGATGGGACTCGATGGGTTGATGTCATCAGCACTGAACCCAAGGCCACGGGCACACAGGAGCCCACAGCCCCGGGATCCTCCCCGACTGCACCACAGGACCCTGTGCTCTGGGCCACTCAAGGGCAGCACGGCCCTCTGGCCCCACGAACAGCAAAGTTGCCCATGAAAAATCCAAAACTGCAAAATCAGTGCCCTCTAGAAGCCACCTAATGGCTCATGTGTCGCACAAGTGCCAAACCCTGGAGGCTGCACCGCCTTGTTCAGCACCAGCTGGGACGTGCACACCCGGCCACCCAAAACTTTCACCCCTCTGAATGTGTCCTTGGATAACCTTGACAGGGCTGCCACGGAGCTGTGACTGTTGATTTGGAGGTTATAAATACATTTTAGCAAGCAGGGGGATCCATGAATACCGAGGACTGCGTTAAGACACTGTGCCAACCAGTGTGCCAACCGGGGCTCAAGAGAGCCCGGCATTTCCCCTAAACAGCATACATGAGTTTTTATGTAAAGGACCATGAAAAGCCCAGTAGTTGTTGGCTTTAATTTTTAAAAAAATCTATGGGCTGGGGATGTGGCTCAAGCGGTAGCGCGCTCGCCTGGCATGTGTGCGGCCTGGGTTCGATCCTCAGCACCACATACAAACAAAGATGCTGTGTCCACCAAGAACTAAAAAATAAATATTAAAATTCTCAAAATAAATAAATAAATAAATCTAGACACAATATCTGTGGCAGGTGGAATGTCATCTACACACACACACACACACACACACACTCTCACACTCACACACAAAACCCAAAGTGTGACCCTTATTTGAAAACAGTCTTTGCAGACGCATTTAGTTAAGGACATCAAGAGGAAGCCTTGGCCTCCTGACCAGGTTGGGGGCACAGGGCCTAGGATCCCAGTGGCTCGGGTAGACGGAGGCAGGAGGGTGGCAAGCTCAAGGCCACCTCAGCAACGTAGTGAGACCCTGCCTCAAAATAAAAAAGAGCTGGGGATGTGGCTCAGTTATAGAGCACCCCTGGGTTCAACCCCCAATACCAAAAAAGGGGGGGAAATCATTCTGGATCTGGGGTGGGCTCTACATTCAGCCCCTGGGGTCCTTAGAGGAGAAGACGGGACACAGAGAGATGCCAAGATGCCACCGAAGACAGGCAGAAATTGGAGGGGTGTGGCCACAAGCCAGGAGCCCAGGGCCCCCGGAGGCTGGGACAGGCAGGGGCGGACCCTCCCCTGTAGCCTTGGGGGAGCGCGGCCCTGCCGACACCTTGACTCCAGACTCTCAGCCTCAGAACTTCCAGAGAACACATTTCTGCTGTCTTCGCCACCAGGTTTGTGGCCGTCTTCTGCGGCTGCCCTAAGAAGCCCGTGGGACATTCCTACAACCATCACCTACACCCTCGGGGACCCCAGCAAAGGGGGACCAACAGCCTGGGGCAGGCCCCAAACTATCCCATCTCCGCCTTCTTCCCAGCTGGGTGTCACACCAGAGGTGTCCGAGAGCCAAGGGAAAACCAGATGTTGGCACCCGGCAGGTTCCTCCAAGTGCCTTGGCAGCCCCCTGACCCTCACCTATGTCCTGGTAGTGCCAGCCTCCCGCGTAGAACTCCTCCAGCAGGGCGGGGGGCCGCCAGGTCTGCAGGAGCACGTCCACCTGGTGCTGCTTCCGCCAGCTCAAGGACTGGCACAGCATCTCCCGGGCCTTGTCCAGGTGGAAGTCGCGGGCGCGCAGGAAGCGCAGGATGTGTTCATCTTTGGGAATCTGAGACACAGAGAAAGAGAGCGGAGAAGGACACCCTGCCCACAGGTTAGGTACCAGAAGGAGCCCCTGGCTCACCTGCAGAGCGTCCCCAACCCTGAGGGAGAGCCCGGGCTCAGGACGCTCTGCTCTCACCCCTCCCTGCTCCTGCTGGGACCTGGGTCTCTCTTGGGGGCAACTGGTCCTCCTTCACGCCCCCCCCCCCCGCCCCAGTGAGCCAGTCCTGCAAGACCAGCCCCAGGAGCTGCCCTCTCTCCAGCAGGAGGAGCAGGGTGTGGGCTGGCCAAGAGGCTCAGTAGGGCTCCTGGAGGTGTAAACTGACACTAAAGTCACACCCCGCCTGTCCCCTAAGGTGGAGGAGAGAAAGACCAGCCACTCAGCTGGCAGCCGCAGCAGGAAGTTCTTACTCAACAGAGCTGAGGACAAAGTCCCCGTGGGACCCTGGTGCATCCTGGTTACGGGGGTGACAAGGCAAAACCCACCCACGGGCAGTCAACACGCACCTTCGCAGGGTCTCCGAGTCCCACAGGAAAGGACAGAAGGGTATCAGGAATGTGGTGCTATGCAGCAGCGTCTCCACTGGGGGGTCACCAGGCCCCCGGGGACACATGACATCTCGGAAGCTGTCCCAGGTTGTCATAACTGGGGGCGGGGCGTGGGGGAGTCGCTAATGACATCTATTTGCTGAGGCCAGGGATAGTGGGAGGTCTTCCCGTTGCTGATCACGTGAACTGCCCTGTCCGCCCCCAGGCCCACCCACCTTGCCTCTGTGGGTCTCCTGCAACCAGTGCCGCAGCTGGATCAGGCAGCTCTCCTGCATGGGCGTGAGCTGGCCCAGGCACCTCTGGATGTAGTCTGCGTCCAGCTTGTCCCCTTGGAGGAGGAGGACGGGGTCTTCAGGACAAGGGAGACCCTGCGTCCCTCGCCTGGTGGCTGACCTTTCTCTGCCCTCCTGTGCTACTGGCCACCTCTGCTCTGGAACATGGTTCCAAGCCAGGCTAGGGCTCCGGCTCCAAACACAGCCCCGCAGGCCCCAAAGTCCTTCATTTTTCCCACCCGGGTCCAGGTGGTTCTGAAAGCTTAGTCCAGGATGATCCCCACCCTCCAGGGTGGCCGAGCCATGTGTGGGGGCCTGGGGACCACGTGGATCAGCCTGCTGGGCAACCCATCAGCCCATGGCCAGCACACAGAGCCTGGCTCAGTCCAGGTCCGGTGCCCGGCTCCTAGCCACTATGCAGCAGAGGCGGGTGCCCACGGCCTCCTGGTATCTCAGCCAAGCAGCAGCCTGTGGGCACCGCCACTTCTCTGTGGACAGATGGCACAGTGAGAAAGCAAACTGAATGCCCCCCCAGCAAAACCTCTCAGCCGTTCCCCAAACAAACCCTGGGCACGGGGGTCACGCCGGCTGTGCGAGGAGGCATCTGGGTAAACCACAGGAGGGATGGGGGCTGAACTCATGTGGGCAACGGCAGCAAAGGGGCATCGGAAGACATGAGGCAGGCGGGGCGCCACGTCCTTCCGGCCCCAGGCAGATGTGAGGCCCTTCTCTCCCTCTGAGCACAAAGGCCCAGTGATTCAGAACAGGGTGGAAGGGCCTGACGTTGCCCTCTGCCAGCCACCCCGAGTGCCAGTGTGCTGGTGGACAGGACAGATGAGAGTGGAGGCCAGGCCTGGGTGGACAGGCAAGGTACAGGCACAAACCACAGAGCACACACAGGAGGGTGTAAAAATATAAAAGGGCACGTACAACAGCAGCCAGCCAGTGCACACAGTCGGTGCAGAATAAATTCTTGTTGCATGAATGGATTTTGTTCCCTCTAAACACAGCTCGAGACGTAGTATTAATTCACGGTATTGTCACTCAAGTATCTTGGAATCAGGCAGGCCTCCACGTGTCAGTGGCCCAAAAGGAAATTGGACTCCGTGTTTGTACTGTTCTGTATACCAGTTTGTTAGAATTTTTTCTTTTCTTTTTAATTTGCCTTCACATTCTATTGTGAACAATTTCCACATGAATAGAAGACTGAACTGCGACAAAGGGCTAATTGCTGTAATATACAAAGAGCTCTTACAAACCAATAAGAATTCAAGAACAGGAATTAACCAAAGAAAGGAAAATAGTCACTAAACACGAAAACAAAACAAATGGTCATTCTTATTGCCTTTCAGAAGTTTGAAACATTTAGTAAGATTCTGGTGGAAAGTCAGGGTGAATAGACACAGCTTCACACTGTAGGTGGGAGTGATGATCATCAGCCTCTTCAGAGGCCTAATTGGTAAATGTACCTAAACCTCAGTGGCACAAAACCTCCCAGTAACTTCACGTTTTAAATGTTATGCTATGTATGTTTCTACAAAAATTTTTAAATGCTTATGTAGAAACTGGATCCACTGGCGCCTGCCTGCAATCCCAGCTACTCAGGGGGCTGAGGCAGGAGGATTGCAAATTCCAGGACAGCCTGGGAGACTTAGTGAGGCCCTGTCTCAAAATAAGAAATAAAATGGGCGGGAGAGGTAGCTAGTGGCAGAGTGCTCCACCCCCAGTTCCATCCCTAGTAACACCCTGCCCCCAGGTTTTTTAAATGAAAAAAGTAAAATCTCTTAAGTCCAAAGATGTATGGCACATTCTTTGTATATTTTTAATTTTTACTATTTGTGTGTGTGTGTGTGTGTGTGTGTGTGTGTGGAGAGAGATGCTGGGGATCAAACTTGGGGCCTAGCAAACCCAGGAGGGCCTCACGCACACTAGGCAGGTGCCCTACCACTGAGCTGCCTCCCAGGTCTTTTTATGCGATTTTGAGACAGGGTCTCACTGCGTTGCTTAGGGCTTCACCAAGCTGCCGGGGCTGGCCTGGAACGCGGGGTCCTCCTCCCAAGGCTGTGATCCTCCGCCTCTCCCCCAGTTGCTGGGATCACAGGTGAGCACCACCACACCCAGATCACTATTTGTATTCTTTAAAAAAAACTGAAACAACCTAGATGTCCATCCATAGGGGACCATCTAATTAGGCCAAATTAAAATAGCAAATAGTAAATGTTTATTAACAAGTTACGGAACCACATCACGACACCGTGAACTATTAAGGTCTTCCCGCTGATGTGAAAAGTAACCAGCCACATCCAGCGCAGATGAGAAACATCAAAACATCAAGGGGAATGCAGAATGCGCCCAACGAGTTAAGTTCGGCGTGTTACACAGGCATGGGCAACGGTGCCCACGTGTGTGCGGGTGTCCACCATCACGAAGGTCCCCACACCTACCTCAGCAGCTCGCCGAATAGAAACCCAGGCCTCCGCTCGGCCTCCAGGGAGCAGGAAGGCATAATTCCTACTGCCCATCTTCTGAGGAGTCTTAATTTTTTCTACCATGATCAGGCATTACTCGGGTAATTTAAAATAGTAATAAAACCAGAATCGCAGGCAGCGCTGTGCGCCCGGGTCAGCTGAGGGGCGGAGCCGGGGGTGGAGCCGGGGGTGGAGGGGGCGCAGAGGAGGAGTCGGCGGTCACGCAGGACCCAGACCCTCCGCGCTGCTCCTCCCTCTTCCTCCCACCCGGCGGGGCGCTTCCCAGCACCGGGGCCAGGGCGGACCAGCGGCCACCTACCGTCAGTTCCCACCGCCTCCGCGGCTGGGCCCAGGGCCCTGAGGGTCCCCTCCGCCTGCTGGGATCCGGGCTGGCTGCGGGCGTCCTCCTCCCGGACCGGGGCGGGCGTCCAGCGGGGGATGTGAGAGGTGCCCTGGGAGATGAGCTCGTTCAGGTAGTGCTCGATCACCTCCTTCCCCTGGAAGCCCGAGAGACCCGAGTCACGGGACGCGACGGCGGGGTCACCGCACTGGCGCCGAGCCACCTGCACCTGGCTGGGTCCCTCTGCGGACAGTGGCCTACTGGGGGCCGAAACGCGGCAGGTAGGGACGGAGAGGTGCTGCCCGACACCGCGGGGCTTCACCTCTCGGTACGGAGCAGCGGCCCCAACTAGCACGGTTTTATGTACCACGCAGATAAAACATATTAACAAAGTGAAGGTCACCTATGTCATCATGTAATAGGCGATTTCAGGGGTGGGCCTGAGGTCTCCGACCAAGCAGTGACAATTTTAGCCAGGAAGAGGCTCCGCAGAATGTCCCTCCTGTGCGCACTGAGCTCACTGCAGGGGCCCCCATATCCCCGGGTATGGGGACAATGACCAGGGTGTCCTACTGCAGCCAGTTCTCTGCCCATTGTCTCAGTGAGAAGGCGGCAATAGGGCACCCCGTTGGCAGGTGAGAAGACAGGTCCAGGAAGGTTACGGCTCTCCCCAGTGTCACAGGGGTCGCCAGGGGCGGGGTGGGTCTGCGCCTTCCTCCCGGGACCTCCGGCCCTCTCACCCTCTTGACGTTGGCCGTGTACTGCTTCATAGCGATCTTCTCCAAGGTGTTTTCAAAGCCAAAGAAGGACCGGATGTCCAGCGAGGCCGACTGCTCGAAGCAAGTCCAGTCTTCATTCTCGGGGTGGACCTGGAAGCCAGGCGCGGGAATGCCAGGTCTCATTGTGGGGCGTGCTGGCCTCCCCAGGGGCTCTCCCCAGGCACACCTGCAGTGGACAGCACGTCCCACCTAGCCACACCCAGGGGCCCCCTCCCGGAACCATGCAAAGTCTGAGCTGTTAGGGAGCAGAGAGCTGGCTCATGGGGGCCCAGAGAGTGTGGTCTGATAGCTGGGCCCCTGCCCTCTAAAAATACACACAGACTATAAAATTATGTGCAAACAGAGCTGGGGATTGAGCACTCACCCAGCACACGTGAGGCCCTGATTCCATCTCCAGCACCTCCAAAAAATTATATGTAAATGATGTTTCGTATAATACATCACTTACATAAGTGTATGAATAAATTATATATCTACATTAAATATGAGTTTAAGATATTTTAAATAGTTACATGTTGTATGTTAGACATTTATATGCATATTTTATATACAAGGATATACTTACTAAGTATATCCTTGTATATCCACAGGTGCACAGATGTCAATAAAGAAAACACACTGGTGGACACTACGGGGACCCAGACCTAGTGCTCCGAGAGAACTCCCCAGGAGGCTGCAGAATGTGCAGGTCCTGGGCTGCCCGACTCGGAGCAGGCCAGGGCTGGGGAATCCACATGCACAGGCAGCCTCGGTCCAGGTGGCCTGCCGTGGCAGAGCTCACTGTGGGAGGGGCTTAACAACAACAGGTGCCTACAGGAGCCTCAACTTCCTGGGCCCTGTCTCCAGGAGGTCCCAAGAGGGGCTGGAGGTGCATAAAGGAAAAGCAACAGGCATCTAGTGGGTGCCTGCTCATGTGAAGCACCAAGTGGCAGATGAATGGGCAGAGCCCCTCTGCCCGAAGGCTGGGCGAAGACTGTGGTAAACACCCGCGTGCTCTGCAATTGCCACGCAGGAGTGGCCATCCTGAGAACTGCCACTTGGGATCCAGCCTGGGCTGAGGGACCTGACCCACCTTAACTACTGGGTCCTCCCAGCAACCCGAGGACCCACCGGACAGGATCTGCCTATGCCCATTTCACAGATGTGGATGATGTGGCCTAGGAAGGGCAGCTACTCCCCCAGACTGCACGGGAGTGGCAGAGCGGGTCCCCTCCAGCCACGCCTTCCAGACTCCTCACTCCAGCCCTGTGGCAGCAGGACCTGGCCCCACAGCCTCGCCTCAACCCCTTCAGGTCATCACCCAGGCCCCTCCCAGCCCAGAACTCTGTTCCCAGCCTTCAGGAGCCTGCTCCTTCCACATTCAGCTCTCAGCCTCGGTGACACCTCCTGAGCAGCCGAGGGACCCTGGGCACCCCTCTTGCCATCTGCTGGAGCCCTTCCTACCAGGGGTCTGGCTTTCTCCCACCTGCAGGGCCCACTGGAGTGGAAGCCGCATGAGGACAGTGAGTTGCAGACCCGTCTACCTCCGGGTGCCAGCACTGGGCAGGGTGCCCGGCACTCCACAGCCGCTCACAGAGTAATACCTATGATTGCTAAAACTGACCATCTTTACATGGGTCTCAGCAGTGCCAGGCACTGGTCTGGGGGTTTGGAGAGTGACGATTCACCTGCTGTAGCCCTCACCACCCCTATGTGGTGGGCCACTTATCAACCCCACCCTGCAGATGCAGAAACCGAGGCACAGATCCCTGAAGGTTGCCAGTTTTAGGGGATAAAATACAAGACCCCAGTCACCTTGAAATTTCAAGGCCTTGGTGTAAATATATCCCAAACAATACCTGAAGCATACTTACACTGAAGAAAAAAAATGGGTTTTTTATCTGAGCTGGACACGCGCCGGGCACCTGTCTTACCTGCCGGCGCGGGAGGGAGCAGGAGGGGAGGCCGGGCGGCTCACCGAGTAGCTGCAGTTCTCCTTCACCACGACGCGGCTGGCGAAGGTCTCGTTGTGCGCCTCGATGAGGAGCGTCCTCTCCCTCCAGTTCAAGACGTTTTTCTGCACGAAGACCACGTGCTCCACGCCTGCGATCTGCAGGGGGGACCGGCAGCCCGAGGAGGAGGACGAGAGGAAGAGAGGCGCGAGTCCCGAGTGGCGCACACCACCCAGGCAGCTCCCGGACACCCGGTGCCTGCTCCTAGATCCCTCGCCAACCTGGACCTGCGGACCCACCCTGCCGCCCACCCGTCCACCTCCACCAGTCTGGGCCCCACTCTGCACCCTAAGACCACCCCCCACGCAGCCCATCCACACCCCCAGCCCAGCCCCAGCCGCCCACCTTCCTCAGCAGCCGAGGGGCGTCCACGCGCAGCCGGCAGCTGCGCTCCACCACGTGCACTGCCCCGTCCGCGCTGCGGGACTCGCCCAGGACCTCGCTGCCCAGGAAGACTGGGATCTGCGGGCAGGTGGGGAAGCGCTTCTCGTAGGCCTGGGGACAGAGCAGGGGTCAGGGCCGGGGCCAGCGCATCCCTTGCTGCCCTCGCAGGGCTGTGGTCTCCTTCCTGGGAGGGGGTATCCAGGACAGAGATAGGCACCCCCAGCCGGGAAGGGGCAGCGGTGGCGACTGCAGACACCACCAGCATCTTAACAGACGCCTTCTCGGAGGCGATGGGGACGGACCCAAGCAGTGATTTGGCAAATAGCGTTTGTGGCTTTGCATTGGACCTTTCCCCCTCAGAAAGAAGGACGGGTCTCCTGGGACATTTTAAAAGAAAGCATTTATCCAAAAAAGCATTTGACAAACTCCAACGCCCATTCACGAGAAAACCACTCCCCACGCGGAAGGGCAGTTCCTCAGCCTAATAACCGACCTCAACAAAAACCCACACCAACACCAACTCAAGGGTGAAAGACCAAGTGCATTCCCCAAATCAGACCCAAGATGCTACATACAGAAAATCCCCAATACACACACAGTCGGACTGTAAGTAAGCTGCGCGCGGTGGCAAGGCGTAAATAGGCGCGATTTACAAACTAGTTCTGCTGTACACACAGCAGTGCAGTTTACAGTAACACCAAAAAGAACCATGACTTAGGAATGCACCCAGGAAAGGGAGTGCAAAACTTATACTCTGAACGTGGCTGAAGGAAAGTAAAGAAGACCTAAATAGATGGAAGGCTGTCCCTGTTCGCGGACTGGAAGGCGTGATCTTGCCAAGACGGCAGGGCTCCCCAAAACGAACCACAAACTCAACGAAACCCAGTCACATCCCAGGTGTGTGTTTGCAGAAATTGACAGACTGAGGCTAAAATCCGTGAGGAAACGCAAAGGACCTAGAAGAGCAGGAAGAATCTTGAAGAAGAGTAAAAGCGGGAGATGCACACTTCGTCATTTCAAAACCTCTTAGAAGGCCACAGTAATCAAACCAGAATGGTCGTCGCACACGAGGGCAGCCATAGAGATGGAAGGAGTAAAATTGGAATTCCACAAATAAACATCACACGTGCAGTTGATTGACATTTGACCGGGAGTGGAGACAGATCCGTGAGGAAGAAATAGTCTCTTCACAAATGGTGCTGGTTGAACTTCAACCTCAGGACGCGTACAAAATCCAACTCAAAATGGAGCAAAGGTTTGACTGTAAGAACTCAAACTATAAAACTTACAGGAAAACACGGGAGGGGCTGGGGGTGACATTCAGTGGTACAGCACCCACCCAGCCCGCCCAAACCCGTGGGTTCAATCCTCATACTTCAAAAATCAACACAAAACACAAAACCCCCAGGAGTAAACCTTTATGACCGTGGATGAGGCAGTCATCTCTTAGCGGTGACATCAAAATCACAAAGGACACCATCAAGGGAAAGAAAAGGTGACTGAGGGATCAGGAGGGAATTTTTGCACGTGTTTAGATCTATTTGTACGTAGACAGTATATATATGACATCTGTATCAAATAGGGGACTTGTGTCTGGAATCTACAAAAATCTACTAAAGCTCAATATTGAAGAGATAAATAAATTTAAAAGTGGGCAGAGGATCTGGGCAGACGTTGTCCAGGCACGGTTCACCACCGGTGGCGGAGAGGCACGTGGGAAGGCGTTCAACATGGCCCGTCATTACAGAAGTGCAAACAACCACAGGGCAATGCCACTTCACGCACACCAGGGTGGCAACAGCAAAAGGGCAGGCGGTAGCGAGCGCTGGGAGACGTGGAGGAGCTGGGCCTCCTGCCTTGCCTGCCGCGGGACCTGCCACGATGCAGCCCCTTGGAAACCAGCCTGGCCTTTCCTCCTACAGCGAACTGTCTGCAACCCAGCGAGCCTGCTCCCAGGCACACACTCAAGACAATGAACACAAATGTGCACACAGAAATGTGTGCATTCGTGTTTGTAGCAGCTGTATTCAGAAGAGCCCCGAAGTAGAAACAACCCAATGTCCTTTAAACTGTGGAGAGGATAAAGGAATTGTGGTCCAGCCCTATGGTGGAATATTACTCAGCTATAAAAAGGAATGAAGCACTGACACATGCTGCACGTGGACGGACCTTGAAAACCCTGTGCCGAGGGAAAGAGGCCAGACACAAAAGCCTGCAAGTTATGAGAGTTGGCTTCCATGAAAAGTCCAGAACAGGCCAATCCACGGAGGCAAAGAGGACTAGTGGTTGGTTGCCAGGGGCTGGTGGGGGGGTGAGTGGGGCTGAGATGAGGGCCAAGGGCCTTGCAGCTTCACTGGGGGTCGCGAGGACAACTTGAGACTGTGGCGATGGCTGCACACAGCTGAGACTATGCGGAAGCCACGCAGTCGCACGCTTCCCAGGGATGAATCGTGTGGTATGACTCAGGCGTCAGCGCAGCTGGAGGGGCTTGGCTTTGGGTTTTGTGGGCCCCTCACACATCCCAGGAGAGTGCTCTACCTCTGAGCCCCACCCCCAGCCCAATGAAACTGTTCTGAAAAACACATGCCAATATGTGTACGTATGTACACGTATGTACATATACCCACATATGTACAAGAACATGTATGATGCATATAAGATACGTGTGAACACAAATATGTGATTTTTTTCTAAGCATAGATGGCCTATATTTATATATTTATCACCTGCTTAGACAGAATGTTTATCTTTGCGGCTTTAAACATGTAATTGTACATATAGATTCAGAAGATGTTTCATATGTAAACATACAGGCCGTTTAAAGAAGGCGCTCATTTTACATATGCATAGATTTTACATATTTTGGGCCCCGGCCAGCGTGCCAAGCCCAGCCCCCCATTTGTGAGTGTGACCTTGCACACTTCACCTGAGCCCTCTGCCTGCTGCTCAGGGTCTCCATGGGAACTAAAGGATGGGCACAGAGGAGGCATCTGGGGCTGCTCCCTCCTGGCTTCCCCTTGGGTCACTCAGGGCTTGTCCTGAGCCAGGAGGGTAAGTGCCCGTCAGAAGGGAGGCCCAGGCCCTGATGCCAGGGTCCACAGGCCACGGTGTCTCCCTGAGCCTTGCTGTCCCCAGAGCCACCGTGGGTGCACAGCAGACTCTGTCCCTTCTGCAAGTGTGGGGTCCTCCTAGGGGCCTGCAGACCTGGGTGAAAGTGACCGGAGGGGACCCCCGAGCCCATGAGCCACACTCGAGGAGGATGAGTCCGCCCAGTTCTGGAAGTGCCAGGTCGGGGCTGGCGGCCTCCGTGGCATCGCGGGGTCTGCTCTTAGCCTGGAGCCGCCCACGTGCCCCGGAATTAGGATCAGTGCAAGCTCCCAGAATAGTGCAGTGGGTTGTCTGAGGACAGACTCCTCCCCCTCTTCCCTCCATGCTCTGGGAGGAGAGCTTCACCCACCCAGCTCAGATGGGCAGAGCAGGAAGGGCACTGAGGGAGAAATGGTAGTGCCCCTGGGGAAGCCCTGGGCCCACGGGCCAACCCAGCTCCTGTCCCCCGGGGTGGGGAGCTCAGAGCCGCTGCCTACCAGAGCCGCTGCTTTGACGAACACAGCAGTGTGGAGCTCTGGCCCCTGCAAGGTGCACCAGGAGCCTCCCAGGGCCTGGCACGGGGTGGGCAGCCAGCAAGGGAGGGCTCCTGAGACCCCCAAGGCTGCCCTGGACCTCGCGGAGGCAGCATTTCTCTGAGAGCAGAGCGGGCCACCGCCTGGCTTGGAGCCCAGGTCTACCGGCCCCCAGACAAGGCGAGTCCCTTCATTCCTCTAAGCTGGAAAACGGGCACAGGAGTCTCACAAGGGACGAAGCCAGGTTGGACATCTCAGCCAGAACCCAGGACGTGCGCGCCACAGGGACCAGGGCTCAGGGTGGCCCAGCAGGTGCAGGAGCTGAGCTGGCTCAGGCTCCACCTCCCTGACCCGGGGAGAGGCCCACGTGGGAAGTCCAAGGGGAGAAGAGTTCGTCAGCCTCTGTACGAGCCTCTGCCTCTTTCTAACTGGGCGACTCTGGGCAAGCTGCTTGCCCTCTCTGAGCTTCCATTTGCTGCTGTTCAATGGGGTGGCGATGAGGACCTTGCCAGATGGAGTCTTGGTGGGGTCAGCCTGACCAGTCCAGACTGCCCTCCTCCAGCTGTGGCTGTTCCACTTCATCCTCTGAATAGAGTTCCTCGTTTGACAGATGAGGAAACCCAAGCGCAGAGAGACTTACTAATTTACCCAAGGTCACACAGCATGGAATGGTGAAGCTGGATTTGAGTTCTGGTTGGGCCCAGGCCTCCCTCCCTTGCGCCAGGAACCCCTGGCTCAGCAGCTGGGCTTGCTCTCGTGGGCAGCTCAGAAACAGAGCCGGCCGCTGTCTCCAGGGCTGTACATCACATCTTCTCCCTTTCTGCCCTCAGCTGTTCTGCTCTGTCAGGCAGTGGACCCAGGCCCACGAGTCTCCCCGCTCCCGGCTGTCCCTCTCCTCCTGCTGTTTTGCAGATGGGGGGCATACTCAGAACAGCCTCATGCCCAGTGCAAACCCCACGCTCCTTTCTGTGGCCCCTCTGCTCCAGCCGCACCGGCCTGGCCACCTCTGGAGTGCACCCCATCTCCCTCAGGGGCCTTTAGGCTTGCTGTTCCCAGTGGTCTAACACCAGTCCACTCACGTGACAGTGATCGGGTGGCAGGGAGTCACTGGCACCTGGCAGGCAGCCTGGGCCCTTCTTCGGGGCCCTCCCCAGCCCCCTGCACAGCCCGCCTTCCGCCTGCTCACTCCTTGACCTGCCCGTCCACCGCCCACCCCCCCAGCCAGCTAGCGGGTGGTGTGGGGAGGCCCGGAGGCCCCGGCCTTTCCACCAAACCACCTCACAGTCGGGCTCCCTGCTCCGCACAGAAATGCCAGCCGGCCACCTAGGCAAGGGCATCAGCTGGCCACGGCCCAAACAGCCCCAGGAAAGGTGTCCAGCGAGGGAGGAGGCCCCACGCTCAGCGCCCGCAGCCGCCTTCAAGAGCTGCCCTCACTCACTTCCCGTGGCAACGAGGCTCTCCAGGGCGCTCAGCCTGCAGCCCCGGACAACA